CATATTTTATAACTGACACTCCCCGAATTCACATATTATTCTAGATTATGCTAGAGCTGAATCCCTTTGAAGACATTTTGAGGATTTTTTTCCCCTGGTACTACTGAATGATAACTATTTTTTTTCGTCCAAATCAGAGGTGGATGAGTGATGTGTTCTTTGCTCACAGGGTTTGAATGGGAAGCCAAGTAGGAGGCTGAGACAGAGAGGGGGAGAGAATAGAATTGGAGAGATAAACACAGCTGAGAAGAGACAAAAGGCTGACATTTGCTGTTTGCTTTGTTCTTATGCCCTCCTCCCCATTTTACACCTATGAAAGAAAGTATAACCAACTCTGATATTTCCTAGAATTACAGACTCAGGGTCAGAAGGGATCTCATAGGTTATGTGACCCTACCTCTCAATCAGTAAGTGCAAGCATGACCTCTTCAATATCTCTAATATCCAGTCTCCTCTGGGATATTCTCAATGACAAGGAGGTCTTCTTGTCCAACCTCAAACGACTCAAAGGTCATTTAGCAGCTAGGTGACCAACCATATGCTGGGCATGTTGTGAAGGAGATTTTTGCATTTGGAGAAATCAACGGGGGTGGGGAGGGGGGAAGAAGGCAGTGGACTGGATGGCTTTTAATGTGACCTACTTTAAGATTTTATGATTCTCAGCTAAGCCACTAACTTCTTAGTCCATGACATGGAAGCATCCTTGGGTTCACAAAGTTTTTGCTAGCAGAGCAAATGCTGGCAGATCCTATCAAATAGAAAAGGCTTCAGATGCAGGTCTGGCAATGAGTACGTCTGTCCTCCAAACATCAGCACAGCTGTATTCAAAAAGGCTCATTACCAGGTGGCTGCATATTCTATCACCACACCTCCCCTGGATTTTCAGGCATAACAGCTCATGAAGACTGTCCACACACTAAAGAATCCAGGGGCTGTGATCTACATCAGGACAGGAATTAGTTACACCAATGAAATCAAAGATTGCTGAAATATTGAATTGTAAGGAGATTGTTAATATGAAGCACAGGGACTGATGAAGAGCTAGCCTTGGGGGACAAGAAGATCTGAGTTCAGGTAGCATAGTGGATAAAGCCTGCTCTGAGTTAGGAAGGCCTGAGTTCAAATCTGGCCTCAAACACTGACTAGCTGTGTGACCCTGGGTAAATCACTTAACATATTTTCTTCAGTTTCCTCATCTATAAAATTGGGATAATAATAATACTTACTCCCAGGATTATTGTGAGGATAAAATGAGATAATATTCATAAAGTGTTTAGCACAGTACCTGACACATAGTAGGTGCTTAATAAATGCTTGTTAAAATTTTTATTTTTTTTTAAAGTCCTGCCTCTGACACATAATGATGACTGTATGACCCTGGGAAAGTAACCTAACCTTTCAGTGTCCCCAACTCTCAGACCATAAATTGCAGAGAAGGTGCCAATGTAATTTGGTAGAGGGAGGTTCTTCCCTGGGAATTTCCTATACCAATAAAATCACAGGCCTAATTTTTTTTTCAAAAAGCTTATTCTCCCTCTCCCCCCTACACCAACTTCAACAAGCATTTTATTAAGTGCTAACTATAGGTTAAACACTGCTAGATGTTGATAACACAGAGATAAAAATGAAAGTCTTGGAGTTAGTCCTGCCCTTAAGGAGCTTACATTCTACTAGAAACAAAGTAGCCTTTGCAAACCAACCCCAAACTATATTCATTTCTGAATACTAAAAAAAAAATAGTTACTGTTATTCTTCTACCACCTCCACTGTAATTCTTGGCTGTTATGTTTTAGAGGGGGTTGCTTTTGAATAGCAAGTGAAATTGTTTCTTTGTCATAACTTGTGTAGAAATTCTTTTTTGCAATATCAAGAAGTTTTAAAAAGAGAGGCAGAGGGATTGAGTGGATGGATCTCAGAGGATAAAGGTCGCAAGGATCTATTCACTTGAAAGTCTCAATGTTTCTTCCTATTTATTCTATAGCTTTGGAAAAATCAACTAACCTTTTCAGATCTTTTTTTCCTCTTTAAATCAGTAAAATGGGCCTAATAATGATTCTTGACTCCTTTCTAACCTCCTTGAGATAATAATAGGAAAATGAACTTTGTGAAAGTATAAAAGTAAATATGTATTATCTCCTTTGGAGGAAAAAAAATACATTCACCTAGGTCCTGATTGGTGTAAATATTGAATCCTAGTGAACTGATCTTATTATTCAAATTTGCACTGCATAATTCCATCAAGCTGGAACCAATGACCATAGTCTGAATTTGAATAAATGTGACTTCCTCACAGGACACACCATTCACACAAGCCTGGTTCTAGTTGTAGTACTAAATATTCAAAGAAGACTTAGAGCATATGCTAAACTTTTTCCATTCTTAAAAATACTAAGCAATTTAGACAAAACCCACCCATTAAGGTTTTAGATTAAAGTGGTGACAGGAAAACTGGATATGAAATGGGACACAAGCCTAGGAGGAGAATGAAATGCTGAGACTCTTGGATACTATTGTATTCAAAATGATGAGCAATTTTTAAATGGTTAAGGATAAATTTTGTCATCTTAACAATTTCAGTAATTTATGATCCAAATTTAGAAACTTGATTTTGGAGAAACTGCTTTATATATATTTTAAAAATCTGCTTCATTTAAATGTTTTTAAAAGTTACATTTTTGTAACATTGAAGGGATTTGGGTTTTTTTTTTTTGGTAATTTAAAGTTCTTTAACATAAAACAATTCCTATTTAATATTTTGAGGTAGAACTGGTTAACAAGGGACCTAATGGCAGGTAGTTGCAAAGAAGAAAAGTTCTCAAAAAAGTCAACAGACAGTATCATGGAGAGAGAAAAAAAATACTGTCTTGTGTAAGTAAAAAGACCACACTGGGATTCACTCTGCCAAGGTGTAGTCATACTACTACAGGCTTAGTATCTTTCTATTTTTGCTTTTGCCTAAGAGCGGAGAAGCCAGAAGAAACAAGAAGTTCAGTGACCTATACAAGTCAATGAGGGCAAACAGACCCCTCATCACTTGGACAGAATTAGAATGGCAGCTAGCCAGGGTCTTTAAAGACAAGATGTCCTAAACACCTGATGTGTGACCAAGTGATGTGCACATCTGGGAAGGTTTTGCTTCTGAGCCAAGATTTATGATGAATTAATTCTACTGTAACCTAGGGAAGAAACTGGGCTAAGAATAAAGATGAGTGAATGATGTTCCTAACTAGACCTATATATATATATATATTTCTTTAACTCTTACTCTATATTTTTAGTTTAATGTCTTTGCTATCATTGGTCAATGTTCATTTCAAAAGAGAATTCCATTTTTATTGATAAAGCACAACTGAGTGTAAAGATATAATTTTTTTTTTGGTCAAAAATCATTTAAGTATATACTATGTGCTAGGCATTGCGTTAAGTACTGGGGATGCAAAGAAAGGTATAAACAGTGCCTGCCCTAAAGGAGCTCACATTATAATGGTGGAAACAAACATCAAAATAACTATTACTACTACTAATAGTATGGGCAGCTAGGTGGCACAGTGGATAGAGTGCCATGCAGTCAGGAAGACTCATCTTCCTGAGTGCAAATCTGGCCTCAGACATTTACTATTGTGTGACCCTGGGCAAGTCACTTAGCCTTGTCTGTCTCAGTTTCCTCATCTGCAAAATGAGCTGGAGAAGGAAATGGCAAACCACTCCAAGATCTTTGCCAAGAAAACCCAAAATGGGGTCATGAAGAGTTGGGACGTGAATTATAAAACTGAACAACAACTAATAATAGCTAGAATTTATATAGCATTTTAGGGTTTGCAAAGCACTTCACATGTTTACTTCATCTGAGAAATAACTAGGTACATATGAGCTGTAAATAGAGTAGATGTGAGATAATTTCTGAGATGAAGGTATTAAAAGCTGGAGGTACTAGGAAAGTAAGATTTGATTTGTGTCTTGAAGGAAACCAGGGAAACTCAGATGAGGTGGGGCAGAGCATACCATGCATGGAGGTCAGCCAGCGCAAAGGAGTATGTCCCTTTAAACTACCTATGTTTAATTTTTTGCCTTCTCAACAAGTGGGGAAGGGGCTGGAGAGAGGGAGAGAATTTGGAACTCAAAACTTAAAAAAAAAGTTAATATTAAAATTTTTTTTGAAAACCCAAATTATCTATGTATAGGACGTCTCAATAATCCTAGCCAAGGAACATCCATTTACTTAGGATCATAGATTCAGAGCTCAGAGATCACCATGTACAACCCTCTCCATTTTACAGGTGAGAAAACTGAGATTTAGAGAGGAAAAATTATTTACCTAAGGGCATACTGGTAGAATGGTGCACAATTGGGATTCAAACCCAGGTCTTTTGACTGCAGATCTAGTGCTCCTTTCCTTATACCATATTATAGCTTATCCTAAGTGCAGGGAAAGCATGCAGGCATACATAAGCTAACTATAAGTTAAGAAACCTGAACCTACGAGGGAAATATCATACAACTATTTGAAGATGAGCTCTATGCTTATTTGCAAATAGGCTAACAAACTCTGTCTAAAAGCAGGAAAGCATTCAGGTTCACTTATAAATAAGGCAAGAGTCCTTCGGTTGGAGGGGTAGAGAACTGTGGATATGGAGTATTGCATACCTTGTCAAACTGGGTCAAATTGGTGGAAACTTGGTTTTACTTAACTTTTGTTATAAGGGAAGGCAGGCAGTTGGGAGGGGAGAATAATACGTCTTGGAAATGACTTTGATATAAAAACAAATGGCATCAATAAAACTTAAGAAAAAACAAAAAGGGAAAGGTCAATGTACTCTGAAAGCAGGCAATCCATGATCCTCATGTAAAATTACCTGCGAACTTGTGGGAAACACAACATAAAATGAAGACCAATAAAAAGCAAAGCCTGTGAGAGATTCAGCCTTTTACAACTTAGGTTTGCATTAGAAAGCCACAGAAATGTTAGAGTTAGTTCTCAGGCAGGTGTTTATCTAGCTTACCTAAAGTTTAACAATCCAAATGCTTCAGAATGGCTCTAAATGCTGTTCCCCAGTCGAACATCTATCTGCAAATGGACCAATTTCCACATCTGGACTGGAACATCAAGCATTTAAATTACCAAATGTTAGAAACTGGGGTACATAAAATGATTTCACAAATGAGGAACATGGCAGACATCTCAAGGGGCTGGGGCAAACAAAACAGGCGGGTTCTCTGAAGTCATCATTAACTGAGTGTTTCAATTCCACAGCTGTGTCATAGCAAAGGTAAAACGGTTAATAATAGAAACAGCTATAGTGACTTTCTTACTTTTTGAACTATTTCTCATTTAGCTTGAAATTTTCCACATTTTGTTACTGCCCAGAATCAATTTAGTTTAGTTTTGTCTTTTTTTAATGAGTAGAATAGGTAGGAAATTTCAAATAAAATGTTTAGTTGCTTCTGTATTATGAGAAAGTAAACAAGTATATTTTTCTCGTTAATGAGAAAATGGGAGTTTTTTGAAGTTCAACTCACTCAAAAGCAGATAAACTCTCACATATCACACTCTGTCCCCATCATTACTGGCTTTGTGATACTGAACCAGGAAAAAAGCAAGCACATGGGAGGGTGTTAAATTAGGATTCCACACAGTTATGAAACACTTAAAAGGTCATTCTAAGGAGGTGATACAGAAATCCTCCTGTCTTCCTATGGCTTCTAGGCAGGGTCATGAGGAAAAGTACTATTCACTATTTGTCTTTGCATCCTCATTACTTAACACAATGCTGGGCATGTAGGAGACGGTAAAATAATTGCTGGATCGAACTAGAGGTTCTGGATGATACCCATTACTTTCTTTCTCTGCTATAACTCACTTTACCCAAGCAGCTTCTCCTGCATAGGGGTCTGATTCAGGAAGGCAGGTGAAAGGACCCAGATTGACTGGGGGAAGGAATAGGGAGGCAGGATACATAGGCATAAGTGGCTCTGGTGCCAATCCATAAAGGGTAGAAAAGCAGCACTGGCCAGGAGCCAGAGGAAGCCCAGCTTAGAACTCAGGCAATGAGCTGGGCCCAATTTGGTTGACATTTTTAAAGCTTCAAAAGGTCAATGTATATGCTATAACATACTGTACAAAGATACAAGGCTGGATTTGACTGTGCCTGTCAAGTGGCTGGCTTGAACTTGCTATTTAGAACTTGCAGACAGTACAATTTCCATGTGTGAAGATGTGAGCATAATTTTACCTTCTGTTGTTTTTTAACTACCTTGGGCCATGATTTTTAAATTGAAACACAAGAAGTAGGTTGTGCTCGGGTTCCCATAGCAACATTAACTTATCCAAATTGCCCGTGCTGTATGGAATACTTTCAATTACCAGTTTGGCTTTTAAATGTACACTTTAATTATGGGAAATGTAGATGAGTTAAGATTCTGATGCAAATCTTGGCTTTTACATCTACTGATTTATACATGCTCAAACAGTAACCTTAATACTGCTATTGACACATGCCACCAACCCAGTCAAGGCTGTCCTCATTTCATGTACAATCTTCCCACTATTTAACCTATCCTGCATACCACGGCTAGATTAATCTTTCTAAAGAACCCTTTCCATCCTGTTTCTCCTCAGCTCAAAAATCTTCAATGCCTCTCAGAGGCCTATAGGATAAAATCTGGACTTCTTAGCTTCAAGGTCTTCTGACATCTGGCTCCAAACTATTTGGAAAAAGCAGGCAGCAGTAATGCTAGGGGAAGAGGGCTGTTTGAAATCCTAGCTCTAATACTTACAGGCTGTGAGACTTGAAAAGTCACAACCTTTTGGAGCCTTGTTTCCTTAACTGTAAAATATGAGGGTTGGACTAGAATCTAGTCCTTTATTAGAGGGATTTGTTCTGTGAAGTTTGGATTCAGTCGAAGGGCCACATGTGGCCTCGAGGTTACAGGTTCCCCAGGCTTGGACTAGATTGTTACAGAGGTCTTTTCCAACCTCATCTCTCAATATTACCTGACACAAACCCCTTAACTTCACCTGGGCCAGTTCAATCACACTGTTCATGCTGAAATTCACCCCGCCCCTCTTTTATCCTTGCCTCTACTCCAAATATTAAGTAGCTTTTGAGGTCTAATTCGGGTCTCTCCCTGATCATTCCAGACCACATGAGTTCTTACAGTGCTTATAACATCAATTTTCATACTTAGTCTAAATGCTGTCATTTCATTCTTTCCCATCTCTCTATTTTGCCACTCCTATTCAGACTACAAACTCCTCGTGGGCAGGGCCTTTAATTTCATTTGCATGCCCCACAGCAGAATGAATATGCATGGGAAGAATATGTAATTAATTCTATTTTTATATGCTGAAATTTTTAATTCTTCTAATTTTAACATCTTCATAAGTATTAAATCCATTTTACAGAAAACTGTCAACAATCTGTGTACCTGATGATATTTAGAAACAATACTGAGAATGGGTCACTGTCACAAGAGCAAAATAGCAGATACACAGGAAAGGAAAGAAAAAGTCAAAATCTATTCCAGATAGTCTGAATTAGGAGAGAAAAAAATAGCTTGAGCAAAGACTTGGGCTTTTCCTGAATTTCCCTGGAAACAGATATGCTGCCTATTTGGTGACAGATGACAACTGAGCACAGCTAGAGTATGTTTGTGAACTGATTACTGAACCCAATGGTATAAATAAAGCAGATGATTGTCTCCACTTTTTAAAATAGGCAGGCTATTATTTTTTTCAAGTGATCTCAATTACTGCAGTAAGCTGAATAGACAGTATTTTGTTTTTTTAACCATTTTCAAAGAAACATGAGGGGTTAGAAGTAACAAACAATTCACATTTATTGATTTAAAAAAAAAAGTCAAATATGTTGGTGGATCCTTCCATATCACCTAATATGTGTATGTCTGCCTCATCCATGATAACAGTCAGACATGGATATTCAATTCTAGCTTCTAATTGCTCTTTCAGGAATAATTTTTGATGGGGTGATCTTGATTTATACAGAGAGAAAGTATGCTCTTCAACCAGCAGAAATCCCAGGAATGAGATTGTCAGGGTCATTATGATGAAATGAATGCAATGGTTTCTGAAACTTGCCCTGTACCCACACTCGATGCATTTTCACTTTTTCTTTCCTATTAACTTGTAAACGCTGGTCAACCAGGTTCTGCTTTTCATCTAACCCAGCCTGATGGAACATATTGTGGACTTCCCCTGTGACACAAAAATGAAAAGCAAAAGTATGACAAGTGATTAAGAACAAGAAAACAGTCACACATCACTGCTTCAGTTAACTATCTAGATTTTTATCCTTTAACAGAATTTCTCACAAAACACCCCTCTAGGATACAAATGGGGATGGGATCCTTAAGAAAAATACATTCTACTATGCATTAATACAACATAAGGAGGTATGATATAGCACATAGAGAAGGGATAAGAACTACAGTGGTTACTGTTTCTGATGTTTCAACAGATGTTCCTTTTCAGAGTTTCCCCTTGTTAATAAAAAGGCCCAAATATGCCACAACGTAAATGTGTTTACATAAGACTGGGGAAAGTCCTTGAATACGAGGCTCATTTAGTACCCATCACTGTCAAAAATGTACTTTAGAATGAAAAACTGATAAGAGACAAGTCATTTACTATGGGACTCAAATGATTAAAACTCTCTCAACTGGCTCTACACTTGTCATCAATTCTTTTTTGCTCCACGCTAACAACACACACTGTGGAGGGATGCACTTCATTTGGCAGGTGATATTATGATAAAATAATAGGGTCAGTGGGTTAATTTCTCTTGGGAAAAAAGATTTTAAAATACTTTTTTTTAAACCTTTTAATTTAAATTCCCAAGTAGAACATTTAGAAGCACTGGAAAGTAACCTTTAATCAATTATTTGACATTATGATACTTACATGATACTATAGTTTTTGAATTTTTCTTCCCACAAATAGAAACTAAGGATTATGTTTTCCAACCAATTTTGTCCTCCAGAATGTAACTCTTACCTTTTGTAAAGAAATATGCCCTGGTACCATCTCCTCGAACATAAAAGTTTTCAGACAAGCAGCATCCTACAGAAGATAGTTATGAAAAGGGGAAATTAAAATTCCTATTTGAAAAGCAGAAGATAAAAATGAGTAAAATCAAGGTAAACATTCTTTAAGACACAAATATACAAAATCACCAAGGTAACAAAAAAGGATCTCATTATACCTTTTTTGAAACGAAGTTGAGTGAGATCATATCTTCCATGGTCCCGAAATAACAACATTCCTCCAGGTTTCAATAACTTGGACAATCTGTTTACAACGCCTTGCATCCTTTAAAGACAAAGCATGATGCCCTATTCAATTTTGCCTTTTTTTTTCTCTGCTAGGGTGAACCTTCATCTTTTGAAGTCAAAATATGAAAAGCCTGTCATCAAGCTCATTATAAGGCCACAGGAAAATAAACAACAAACATGATCAAGAATGAGAACAAAAAGTGCTTTTACCAAAAAGGCAGGCAAGATTCATGTATATGAAATAACCAGGTTCAAAGGAAATTTAACTGGTAACAAAGAAGCCTACAGTGTCTAAAGAGACCACCCAAGTGACCAGAGCTATTTGGTGGCTTCGTAGAGGTTTCTACAGAATGTCTAACAAAGCTGTACTGAGAAATCACATAGATATCCACAACAACCACAGCAAAATTAATTGGCTGCAGGGCAGGGAAAGAGAAAAACTGCAGGGTGCTTCTGCTTGCAAAATCTCTTACAAGGTAGAGAATGTAACCATGCCACTGTTATCTCATACCTAAAATGTCTAAAACAGGGCTTCTTTCCATGGGGCTTGTGAACTTAGGGTCTTTTGGGTTTCCCCCCATATTCTAATTAATATATTTCAATATAATTGGTTTTCTTTAAAATCCTTATGCACTTAAAAATAATCTTCTGAGAGAAGTCCATAGACTTCACTAATCAAAGGGGTCCATGACGCACAAAAGGTTAAAAATCTTTGGTCTCAAACCAAGCTCATCTTTCCTTCAAATTGACTTTCCTACCCATCTATGTTGCCTTATTGTTACTGACAAACTATATATCAGTCACCCAAGCTCAAAATTTTGGAGGTCAGATGGGTACCCGGATCATATATCTGGAGTTGGAAGGGGCCTTAGGGACCATCTAAGGGACCTAATAGATCTAAGGGAATGAAGGGGCCATCCTTCATTCTCAAGATTAGGAAACTGAGACCCAGAGAAGCTGTAACTTGCCATCTCCTCTATATTTCTTGCTGTCCTATATCCAAGTGATCACCAAATCCTACAGGTTCTTCTTTTTTATTATTTTTTTAGGTTCTTCCTTCTTCATGCTTTCTCTGAATCTATCTTTTTCTTTCCACTTCCACTGGTATCTCCTTTACTTAGGTCCTCACCATCCCATGCTTGAATAGGAGCAACAATAAACTTCTAACATAGTATCTCTAATTCCATATTCTTCCTGTGCTAAACCATCCTGCATGATATGGTCACATCAATCTTCACAAATGATATTATTGTCACATTGATCCCCTCCTCAATAATTTTCAATGATTGGTTATTAATTTTTGTTGTTTTGTTGTTGTTGTTCAACTGTTTCAGTCATGTGCAACTCTCTGTGACCCCATTTGGTGTTTTCTTGGCAAAGATACTAGAGTGGTTTGTCATTTCTTTCTGTAGCTCATTTTACAGATGAGGAAACTGAGGCAAACAGGGTTAAATGACTTGCTTAGGGTCACTAGTTCAGTGTCTGAGGCCAGATTCAAACTCAGGAAGATGTCTTCCTGACTCCAGGTTTGGAACTCTATCCATTGTGCCACTTAGTTGCCCATTATTAATTAGCAAGATATAATATAACCTCCTTATCCTGGTATTCAGGGTCATCCACAATCTGACCTCAGCATACCTTTCTAAGTCTAAATTTCAGTGCTGCCCCATGCAAAACCTCATTTCTAGCAAGCCTGGTCTACTCACTCTACTCAGTACACACCTTTCACATTCTTTATGCCTTAGCATATTCCTCTTCCCTCATTTACAATGCTATCCTCTTCTCCACCTATCCAAACCCTAATCCCGTAAGACTCACCTCAGATCCTTCATTCTGCAACTACCCTAGCCCTAGGTGATCTCTTAATCCTTAGAAGTACTATAGCATTTATTGGACAATTAGTCAAGGGTATCTTATGATTGCTCCTGTTTTATGATTCTCTTTTAAAAATTATTTTAATTTATTTCATTAAATGTTTCCTAATTACATGTAAAATTTTTTTTAACAATTATTTTTAAAATTTTGAGTTCTAAATTCTGTCCTTCCCTCTCATTCTTCCTCCCCCTTGAGAAGGCAAGCAATTTGATACTGATTATACATGTGAAGTCATGAAAAACATATTTCCATATTAGCCATATTGCAAATGAAAACACAAACAAAATAAAACAATAAAAATGTTAAAAAGCATGGTTCAATCTGCATTCAGAGATAATCAGTTCTCTCTCTGAAGGGGATAGCATTTTTTGTCATGGGTCCTCTGGACTATCTTGGATCACTGTCTTGATCAGAGTAGCTAATCTTTCACAGTTGGTCATCTTTACAATATGGCTGTTACTGTGAATATATATTCTTCAGGCTCTGCTCACTTCAGTTTGCATGAGTTCACAGTCTTCCCAGGTTTTCCTGTAACCATCCTGCTCAACATTTCTTATAGCACAACAGCATTCTATCACAATCATATACAACTTGTCCAGCCATTCTCCAACTGATGGGCATCCTCTTAATTTCCAATTCTTTGCCACCACAAAAAGAGCTGTTATAAATATTTTTGTACATATAGGTACTTTTCTCTTTTCTTTGACCTCTTTGGGTGGTAGTGGTAGTACTGCTGGGTCAAAGGGTATGCACAGTTTTACAGTCCTTTGGGCATAGCTCCATATTGTTCTCCAGAATGGCTGGACTAGTTCACAACTCCACTAATTGTGCATTAGTATCCTGATTTTTCCCACATCCCCTCCAACATTTGACATCTTCCTTTTGTCATGGTAGCCAATCAGATAGGTATTAAGTGGTATATCAGATTTGTTTTAATTTGCATTTCTCTAATCAGTAGAGCATTTTTTTATGTGATTATTGATAACTTTGATTTCTTCTTCTGAAAACTGCCTGTTCATATCCTTTAAACATTTATCAACTGAAGAGTGTCTCATTTCTATAAATTCGACTCAGTTCCTTACATATTTGAGAAATAAAACTTTTATCACAGAAACCTGTTATAAATTTTCCCCCTAGTTTCTGGTTTTCCTTCTAATTTTGGATGCATTAATTTTGTCTGTGCAAAAGCTTTTTAATTTAATGTAATTAAAATTACCTATTTTACTTCCTATATCATATTTGTTTTGATGATTACTGCTTTATAGTATAGTTTGAAATCTGGAACATAATCAACTCACTCCTGCACCCTCTTTCTATATAGAATCCTTCTAACTGCCTTAATAATGAAACAGTTCTTAGAAGATATATGTATCACCTTCCCATATAGAAAGGTAAACAGTTTAACCTCATTGAACCCCTTATGACTTCTCTTTCATGTTTACCTTTTTATCCTTTTCTTGAGTCTTGCATTTGAAAGTAAAATTTTCTACTCACTTCCAGTCATTTCATCAGGAAAGCTTGAAATTCCTCTATTTCATTAAATATTCATTTCTTCCCTTGAAGGATTATACTCAGTTTTCCTGGGTAGGTTATTTTTGGTTGTAATCCCAGCTCTTTTGCCTTCCAGACTACCATATTCCATGCCCTCTATTCATTTAACATAGTAGCTGCTGAATCTTGTGTGATCCTGACTGTGGCCCCACAGTATTTAAATGGTTTCTTTTTGATTACTAGACATATTTTCTCTTTGATCTAAGAGTTCTGGAATTTGGCTATAATATTACCGGGAGTTTTTGTTTTGGGATCTCTTTCAGGAGGTGATCAGTGGACTCTTCCAATTTCTATTTTACCTTCTGGTTCTAGGATACGAGGGCAGTTTTCCTTGATAATTTCTTGAAATATGATGTCTAGGCTCTTTCTTTGATCATGGCTTTCAGGTAATCTAATAATTCTTAAATTATCTCTCCTTGATCTGTTTTCTAGGTCAGGTGTTTTTCCTATGAAATATCTCACATTTTCTTCTATTTTTTTTTTCATTAACTTTGATTGTTTCCTGATGTCTCATGGAGTCATTAGCTTCCATTTGTCCAATGCTAATTTTTAAGGAATTATTTTCTTCAGTGATGTTTTGTACTTCTTTTTCCATTTGGCCAACTCTGTTTTTTTAAGGTGTTGTTTTCTTCAGTATTTTTTGTGCCTCTTTTCCCAGGTTGTTAAATGTCTTTTTATAATTTTCTTCTTTTGCTTTCGTTTCTTTGCCTAATTTTTCCTCTACTGCTCTTATTTGTTTTTTGGGGGGGAGGTAACAGGGGTTAAGTGACTTTCTCAGAGTCACAGAGCTAGTAAATTGCTGAGGCGAGTTTGAACTCAGGTCCTCCTCACTTCAGGACCAGTGCTACATCCACTGCGCCGCCTAGCTGCCCCTTTTATTGGACTTATGTCCAGTTCCCATTTTTCTTTGAGACTTTGCTAGTAGTTTTTTTACTTTACTGTCTTCTTCTGAGTTTGTGTCTTGATCTTCCATTTTACCATAGTAGAATTTTATGGTCAGGTTCTTTTGTTATTGTTTGCTTATTTTCCCACCCTATTTCTTGATTTGAAACTTTATGTTAACTTTATGTTAATGTTGAACTCTGTTCCTGGAATGGGGGAAGGTGGAGGGGCATTGTCTCAAGCTTCATGTTTTTTCGAAGTGCTGTTTTCAGAGCTAGTTGTGGATGTCTGGAAGTTTTTAGTGTTTCTAAGGTGGTGTGATCTGGGGAGAGGTATGGTCACTACTCTCTTGGTCGTCACTCTGGTCCTGGGCCCCTGATCCCTTGGGATTATGATCATTGTTGCTCTCAGGGCCCCTCCTCCTTTAGGCCCAGAAATGATACTGTTTCTCAGGATCCCTGATGCCTTGGGGCCAGAAGTGATATTGCCCCTCAGGGTTTCCACTCTCTGTACACTGAAAGTGCTCCTCTTCACCCTTGAACTATGACCCAGAAATGACTTTAGGCAACAGAGGTGCCAAGTAGCCTCTGGTCCTACATCCAGTGCTAGCATAGGAGCTACCCTATAATCACTTTCTTGTTTTTCAATGTTATTTTTCTCTTTTTTTATTTTCCTAAAAAATTATTTATTTATAACATTAAATTTTTTTTTCATTTCAAATTCTCCTCTCCCTTCCCCCACCCATTAAGAAGGCAAGCAGTACATCACTTATACATGTGAAATCATGTAACACATATTTCCATATTAACCATGTTTTTAAAAAAAGCAAGAAAAATAAACTAAAAAAAATATACTTTAATCTTTACTCTGGTCATCAATTCTCTCTCTAGAGAAGGGTAGCATTTTTCATCATGAGTCTTTTGGAATTGTCAGAAGAACCTTGTAAATCAAATGGGGAAGGTATTATTATACCCATTTTATAGATGAAGAAATCCAGGCCCAAAAGAAATGGGGTGACTTGTTCAAAGTTATATGGCAGATACATAGTGGCAGAACTGGAGTGCCTGTTTTCTGATTCTTACTCAGCTCTTTCAATAGGAATGTAAGTCAGTGAGGGCAACAGCTATTTAACTTTCAGCTCTGTATATGCAGGCCTAGCACAGTGCCTAGTACATAGCAGATATTTAATACATGCTCATTGACTGATTTCTGCTATGTACTAATAATATTTTGTTCTGAGGGGTAGGCTAACATCACAACTACCACACCACTAAAAACAAGCCTAAGGGAGACAAACAAGTTGTTTGCAGCTAGTATACTACTCCTTTTCCTTGATAATTTGCATGGCCAAGTTACCTTGCCACAGGGGCACAGCCTCTTAGACTCATGTGAAAAATTAGAATACTATGCTGGTACAAATGATTTCAACATTATCCAGTCTAAAATACCATAGGGTAAAATTGATGTTGTGATTTTAGCATACTATCACAATGCTAAAAAAGAAAACTCTAAATTCCCAAAGAAAGGTTAAAAATCAAGTTATCCTTGATTTAGCTTACTTTTGGACTAAAGAGACATTCAATACTAGGAATGAATTCCATTGTTTACCTGGTTTACTTTGTCCTGGGTGAATAAATCCATGAAATATTATCTGATTTTTTTATGGGATAAATTATTATCTTTAGCAAAACAGTTTGGAATTACTAAGAGATATTACTTACTCTTTAACTGACACCCTGCCAATTAAAACTGTAACACCATGTATGTATAGTAGATAGGATTTCTAAATTGGAAGACATTACGTTCGACTCTAATCAAGCTATATTGATAACTGCTGTGTGGCCATGAGCAAGGCACTTCAATTCTCTAGGCCTGCAAAATGATGGGGCTGGCCTAGATCATCTCTAAGGTATCTTCTATCTTCAACATTCTGTGTTTCTCAAATCAGCAAAGAATGTTCTTGCTGATGGGCCCTAGTTCTACAAATTGATTTCAGGATGGAGAGTAAAGATTTCACCAAACATCTTTTAAATAGAGGCTGGACAGACCACTTGCCATTTATATTATAGTGGGGATTTCTTTTTTGGGTATTGGTTGAATTAGATGACCTTTAAGGTGCCTTTCCAACTCTAAAATTCTGTGATTTTGTGAGTACCCAAATGGCGACTTTCAATATGTGGCCTGCATATTTGAAATTCTTGTCTCGGTATGTTAATGAATTCAATTTGTGGTTAAGCTTCAGATGATTTTCAGAAGTTATAAGACTGAAAAGAGATTGTTAGGACAGGACTGGAGATATAGACTGAAGAACTACCTGCATCTGAGTTGTGCTCAACTGTATTCCATTTGAGAAATTAACTTTACACAAAAGAGACAGAGGGCTACTGGCTGGAACAGCAGAGTTAAGTGAAGAGTTTTATGGATGTGAAGAGTTATGTGGTGTTTTTTTTTTAAACACATAGGGATGGTGGAAAGAAGGGACTTTAGTATGTGTAAGATTAGAAGGAAAGGGTTTTCTGGGTTGCCTTATTCTGTTATAGACTATTTTCAAATTGTATGGTTTTCCACAGTCTCTGATAATGATAATTTTGGTTTTCAGAAAAAACATGCCTAACATTTTAAAACACCACTTCACTCTTAGGAGGTTATATGTTAGAAAACTATGATCCATGAAGTTATTGATTAAGAACCTCATATGGAATTAAAATGAAAACCAAACTAGTCCAAACAAGCCCAGCTAAACACCCCAATATTTATCCATTTTTCCAAAGCTTCCATCAGTCTTCAGTACCCATTAGTGTGGATTCCAGACTTTGCAAGAAGTACCCTTCAGAGCACAGCTCAGGCACCACCTCCTACAAGAGGCTTTATTACTTTATTTGCACTTCTCCCTCTTGGAATTACTGGACATGACTTTGAGTTTACCCACTTGCCCCCAGTAGAATGTAAGCTCTCTGAGTACAGGCAGTACCACATTTTCATCTTTGTATCCCCAGTGCCTTGCACACAGCAAGCATTTAATAACAGTTTGTTTAACTGAAATGAATTGAGTAAGACCTAGGACTGTGAATAAAGATGAGCAGAATTTATTTTCACTTTAATTAGCAATGAAGTCCCAGAATTGGTTCTAGGAGAAAAGAAAGAAACATTTCATTTTCCTTGTCTCTATCTCTCCTAGTCCACCTGAGATCACTATTCTGCTTTTGGATCTCTCTGGACTAAAGACAGAGTAAATGAATGTGGCAAGCTCTTCTCATGAAACTTACTGTGGTTTTACAGCAAGTTCTCTGGGCTTAAGGGTTCAGGACCTGGTAGAATTTTGTTGCCATTCACTCTTTGTGAACCCATTTGCAGTTTTCTTGGCAGAGATACTGGGGGTGATTTGCCATTTCATTCTCCAGCTCAGATGAGGAAACAGAGGCAAACAGGGTTAAGTGATTTGCCCATGGTCATATAGCTCATAAGTGTCTGAGGCCAGATTTGAACTCAGGAAGATGAGTCTTCCTAACTCCAGGCCTGGTGCTCTATACACTGCTCCACCTACCTGCCCCTGGTAGAATTATCCATGTCTTTAAAATGACCAGGCTTCTCTTATGGTTAGGTCTGCTCACAGAGGCCTGAATAACCCTGACCATGGCCATTAAAAAAAAAAAGTCTCCCTGGAAGACAAAAATAAGTTAACATCATATTTGAATGAAAATGATTTTTAAAAAAAATCTGTGCGTTTCACTGTAAAAAGTTTTTCTGTTATATCTGTTTAAACTTGCTCTTTGACATTCAAGCCCAACCATTATTTAGACCAAAATACTTTCAAATATTCTTTCTTGGTTATTATCTAGAATTCAAACATTCCCTAGTTGATATAGGGAACAGAAAATCTTCCTCCTTATCTTTCCATTTCATCTTTTGACTATTCATACTGGGAGGCAAAATAACACAGACTGTATCATCCAACCAGCACCTGGAAAAAGTCACCATTTAGGTTGATTAACGGAAAGAAATAATCTACAGAAACTGTGATAAAACAGCAGTTTCTTAGGGCTAAAGTGTAGCTGGCAAAATCACATAAATATTTCCTTGCTCGAAAGCTTAAGGATTTTTATGTCTGTACAGGAGTCTGTTTTTGAGTTCAGTTTGCTGTTCTTTTACTAGTGATCATCTCTGATGAAAAAGTTAAGAAGGGATGGAACTACGTAGGAAAGGACCAAGCTTCCTACACCAGAAACTCCAGCTTCTTTGGAAAAGGAAGATGATCACCAAACCCAGCATGATTCAAGCTGAGTACACTGTCTCCGCTATCTGTCAAGCATGCCAGTGTCTATGTCATGCAAATCTTGAGAAACTTCCCACATGCTTACCTTGACATTCCCAACATGGTGAGATGTGACAAAGGGAGCTAAATAATAAACTCTAGCATTCTTACAGGGTTTTTTTTTTTCCTTGCTCCCAGAGAATATTGTTCCCCAAAACCATACCAACAGGAAGTTTAGCTAAACTCTCTGATGGGAACAACAGGCATCTTAGGTCCCACATGGATTAATCTGACAAGTCCAAACAATCCACAGTTGGCTGTTTTTTTTTCTCCCCAGAAGCCTAACTGCCAATCTTTGTGAACCCATGTGGATGAGGGGCCTCTCTTTATGAACCATTGGTAGGATGCTAAACCAGGGATGTTTGTTTCTGATCTCCAAGAACAACTTGCTGTTCCCATGCTCTTCTCCCCCTACCCCCGGGGAGCCTATTAGGCTGTTTCTGAATTTGTAATTTCCTTGAAGCACTGTCACTTTTAATAGGTATGTGTCTTGCCAGAATATGCTCACTTCATTTTGACAGTGACAGAAAGCTCACTAATGAAGTAGTTTGACCAGTTTCTTTCTAAAATTCTGAAAAGGGGGGGGGGGGACTGCATTTAAAAGAAGGCACATTATACATAATGTAGCCTGCTAAATAATAAATTCAAGAATTGTCATTTAACTTTGATATTCCTGAAAACCACTAGTGATAAAAAAAAAAGCTTTAACATATTTGCTTTGCCCTCTAGTCTTCATTTACCTGTCAGGATGAATAGAAGAGAGCACAAAGACTAAGAGGATGACATCCAGGATCCCATCTGGAAAAGGGTAGGATAAGCAATCATCACACACATCATGAACAAAGGCAGAGCACTGGGCTGGGCTGTAGGATGAGTGGGACTGTCATGATGGAAGAAGAGAAAGATGAAGAATGCAAAAGTTATTAAGCAGACCTTCGATGGGTTTGCTTTGTTGTTTTCTATTATTTAAAATGTCAAATCTTTTTATTTCTTCTGAGGAACTTTCCTCAGAGAATTAAGAAACACTTGATTTACAGGCCAGGGCTCCTGTTTCTTCCACCTGGACATCAGAAGTGATGTCTGTCAATTCAGCTTCACAAAAAAATCTTTTCTGTACTGAAAAAGACTGGCCTCACAAAATGACTGGCCAGGTTTCCACCTATATGATAGGATTTTGGGGACCCTGAGATGCTCTTCCTGAGCCTCAATAAGCTTTTCCCATCCTGTCCTCCATGTGTTTTGAGATGTCACAGATTCATTCCTTTTGTATTAAGGGTCTGACCGAGGTTAAAATGTCACATTAATTCAGTCATTTACACCGTAGTAAGAATGAGGTTATCAGATCATTGCGCAGGAGAAGGACAGAGAGAATATTTAGACATGATACACAGATTACAAGTTGACACTTTAGGGGGAAAGGGAATTCAAAGTATAGTCTGGTGGTCATAAAGACAAGCTTTCCCGATTTTAACATTTTGTCCAAGTCTGGTCCTTGTTTAGGGCATCAATGACAGAAGCTGCCCGCCATGACTATGACCTGATAAAGTTATAGAACTGCTCCAAATACTGCAATTTCCCTTAAGTTCATGGATGACAGATGTACATTAAGCTATCAAAATTCTTATTTGCAACTATTTATAAATTTGGCCCATAAAAAAGTTCAAAATATTTACTATTTACTTTGTAAAATTGTACTTAATCTTTGATTTTTCCTAAAATTACCTTCTTCAGTCTTCAAAAGGTATACCTAAAAAATTTGGGATGGTGAACAAGTCCATGCTTCCTCTTTTTCATACCTTTAATAACTGTAAACAGCGGGGCAGCTAGGTGTTGTAGTGGATAGAGCACTGGTCCTGTAGTCAGGAGGACCTAAGTTCAAATCCGGTCTCAGACCAGACACTTGGCACTTACTAGCTGTGTGACCCTGGGCAAGTCACTTAACCCCAACTGCTTCACAAAAAAAAGAAAGAAAGAAAGGAAGGAAGGAAGGAAGGAAGGATAATTGTAAACAGAAAGCCTGGGGTAGTAGAAGATCAGCCTTGGAATTAGGAAGACTTAGGTTAAAGTCTTGCTTCTGACACAACCTTGCTTTATAACCACTTAACCTATCAGTGTTGTTATTGAGTCATTTCAATTGTGTCCAACTCTCTGTGATCCCATTTGGGGTTTTCTTGGCAGAAATACTGGAGAGGTTTGCCATATCCTTCTCCAGCTCATTTTACACATGAGAAACTGAGGCAAATAGGGTTAAGGGTCATACAGTTAGTAAGTATTTGAAGCCAGATTTAAACTCAGAAAGATGAGTCCTCCTAACTCCAGGTTCAGTGTTCTTTCCACTGAGCATACTAGCTGCTCCCAACCTATCAGCATCCCCAAACAAAACCCTAAGACTATAAGTTGCTTATCTGTAATGATGGGGAGAATTCCCACAACAGGACTTCCTCACAAATTCACAAAATCACAGATCTGAACACCTTTCTCCCCACTGTGCCCCTTCCTCTACCCCAACAGAAAGATTATAAAGGCTTTGATTATTCACTGTTTAAGGCTTTGCCTTTTTTTCTTTTTCTTTGCTTTTAAATGTTTTATAGAAACTTTTTAAAAATTTTTAGCACTCCACAATACCACTTTCCCTTTTGACAAAAGTTAAGCAAAAACAACTGAGTTTGACATCACATAATAATGATAACAATAATAATGAATAAAAGCTAACATTTATGTAACACCTACTATGTGCCAGTCACTATGCTAAGTGCTTTACAAATATTATCTCTTTTGAGATATGTGACATTCCCACCTGTAGTCACTCCCTCTCTTTCTCAAGAGAAAGTATGTTTCCTCATTTGTTAATCCGCACCAAAAATGGTCACTGCAATTAAACAGAGCCTGGCTATCTTTTCGGGTTGTTTTAGTTTATGTTATTATAGTCACTGCAGATAACGTTTTCAGGCTTTCTCTTCCAACACCAACAGAACCATGATTTTTTTCTTTTCTAACTTTGCATGGGGATCTTGATCACGTCAGTGCCTTTTTTTTTTGGTACAGAACCTGTGTGTTCACAGGTGAGCAAATCCACTCTATCAGTGCAGATGAATATCAGCTGTGAAAAGTAATTGTCTTAGAAAGTTGCCCAGGTACTCAGAGGTTGAGTGGCTTACTCAGGGTTAACCTGGGCCAAAATGTGTCAGAAGCAAGACTTGAACCCAGGTCTTCCCAACTCTGAAGCTGGCTCTCTAGCCACTATACTACATTGCCTCTCATTTGTAACACTAATAATAGGTGCTTAATGATTTTTTTTCAACTAAACTGAATCAGAGTAATGGGTTGATATCTTCAGGAGTTGGCTGGTCACCATATTTTTCTCAGAAATGACAAAAATTAAGCTTAAAATGGCCAGATGTCATCTTATTCCAGTACTTGAGGCTTTTGATGGGGATAGCGGGAGTGAGAGAGAGGGACTCTCAACCTATAAAGACAATAAAACAGATACCTTTACTAGCTCCACTGCTCCAGAAGCAAAATCACAGCAGTAAAGAAAGGTCTCTGGAGCATTCCTATGAAAGCAAGGGAACACTCTAATTATGTTGTTGCCATAGATATATTCAAGCTACACACAGAGGAAATTGCATGTATGACTTATTAATAGGGATCCTTATATAACGTGGGGCAGGCCCTGACCTATTGTTTATGTGGTTTCATTAACATCATCATCACTATCATCAATAAAAACTGACAATAATGATTAGCAATAGTAATAATGGTGCTTTTTATAGCAGCACTGTGGGGTTTTTCCCCACATTACTTCTGAATTGGCACTGCTTTCAATGGCTCCCTACCACCTACAGGCTGATCTAAACCCCTCTGCCTGGCATTCAAGGCCCTTTACAATTTGGCCTCCTACCTATCCTTCAAACTTCACTTTTATTTATTCCCACTCCCTTCTAATTAAAGGAATGTACTTACGGCTAAGCACAGTGGGTTGAATTGTTCAATCACAGTGGAATGTCTTCTCCACTGTATTCCATTTATCTAAGTTTAACCCTTTAAAGACTACTTCAGGTCCAAGAGACTTTGAAAGACATCTTGCGGTTTACCTAGATTTCTTTCTTAAGGACCAGGCCTTAAACCAAAATCACTCTGGTTATCATTGATTGGCCAACAACAGTGGTCACTGTTTGGGCCAGAAATTCTGAGGGTCTTCCCCTGCCAGACTGATATATATATTTTTTTTGACAAGGTAAAAGAGGCCATTCTCTACCTCACTTCTTATCTAGCCTTAATCACTGAATGGGTGTTGCCTCAGTCAAACTGAGACCTGTTAAAGGCCTTAGTTTAAAAAGGCCAAGGTCTCCCACTGCATCAGGAGCCATCTCCAGTGGTCCTGATCTATATCTGGCCACTGGAGCCAGATGGCTCCGGAGGAGAAACTGAGGCTGCTGACCTTGCACAGCCGTCCCTCACTTAAATCCAATTCACTTGCAAGTCATGGCACCACCTTCCTGATGTCTTGGTCCTCTTCCAGAACAAAGGACAAACAACTTCAAGTCCCAACATCCCTATGAAAAATTTTCAGAATATCCCAGCCCTTGGTGACTTTTTCTTTCCCTGAATTTCTGAAGCATTTTAACAACTGTACAACTTGTCTGTCACATAGCATTTGCTGTTGTCCTGTAATATTTTCTAATACAGTGGTTTTCAAAGTTATCAAGGTAGAACCCTTTATTATTATTTTCGGTACAAGTTATGTTTGTAAAAAATAGATGTCTTTTGCTTTTATATTACAATTCATTTCTGAATATATTCCTCCTTCCATCCCTCCAGACATTTCTTGAAACAAAAATGAAAAAAGGAAGAAAAAAGCAGTTTATCAAAACCAAACCTACTGGCCACAGCAGAGAGTATACATGGCTCCATAGCCATCGTCCCCGACCTCTGCAACTAAGGAAGGGAGGTGCATTTTCTTAGCTCTTTTCCAGGGTCAACTAATCATTACAATCATACAAGGTTCAGTTTTGCTTTATTGTTCTCTCCATTTCCATTGCTGTGGTCAATGTGAATAGTTTTCCTGGAATTCCATACTTTATTCTTTTTCAGTTTATATAAGTTATCCCATGTTTCTGTTAATTCTTCATATTTGTCTTTTTTCTTCTTTAACAACTCAGTAATATTCCACTAATATTAATGCACCATAACTTACTTGTGTCCCCAGAGCCAAACATAGCACCTGGCACACAGAAGGCAGCTAATAAATGCTTGTTGATTGATTGGCTGATTTCACCATTCCCCAGTCAATGGGCATCTACTTTGCTTACAATTCTCTGTTACCACAAAAAAGCACAATTATGAATATTTTGGTATAAATGGGACTTTTCTGACCTCTTTGGGGAAATCCTTCACTTTAAATAAAACCTCACCCCAACTTGTGATGTATTTTTGTGCTGAATATTTAAAAAAAAATTTGTGTATATTTGCGCTATACATTTAAAAATAATATTAACAACAATAACCAAGATTTATAGAATGCTTTAAGGTTTGCAAAATGGTTAGCAAATGTTATCTCATTTGATTCCCCCCAACAACTCAGAAAGTTAGGTGCTAGCTATTATTATCCTTATTTTACAGATTAGGAAACTGAGGCACAAAGAGGTTATGTGATTTGCCCAAGGTCAAACAGCTAATGTCTGAGGCAGAATTTGAATTAAAATCTTCCTGACTCTAAGACAATCACTCTATCCACTGTTTCAAAAAGGAATGAGTACTACTCCTAAGGGTAGTAAAATAACTAAGCTTGTTTTTTAAAAAATCCATTTCAGATCAAGTTGGTACTGGATGTAATGATATGATAAAGTGCTTAGGGAGAAGGCTGGGATGATCTGCTATCAGAGTATTTTATGATTGAAAATGCTATTGGGGGCTATAGTTCATCTTACGAGATGTTTCACAACAGTTTCCATTTTCCCTCTTGCTTATATAAGCCACTATTTGGGGGATTCTTTAAGTTCATCACAGTTCTGCTTTAAAAAAAAAAAAACAAAACCCGAAACTCAAGAGCTCTGTTTTTAAACTGCGTTTGTTTGTAAATGACTTTGTCATTTTGCTGGTAACACCAGAATTTTAAAAAAAAATTTAACATGAGGTTCATGTATCAGAGTCACTGAAAATGACCCAAATTAGAGAGGTATTTGTGTTTTTCACAGATATTTGGGATGTGGTAATCAAGCTAGGTCCATGCCTTTTATTTTGTCATCAAAACTTTAGTTACTTAAGCTTTTTTTCCCCTCGTTTCTTATTCTGATATCCCAAAAGAATAATTTTAAAAAAAAACTTAAGAATAGAAATGTTTGTTTGTTTTACATGCTCTTTTGCTGAGGCATGCCACACAGATAGATAAAGCATTTACTAAGCACTTATTGTGTTCCAGGCACTGTGAAATGGGTTTGGGATGTAAATACAAGCCAGAAAGCAGCCTCTACCTTTAAGGAACTTGCTTTCAAATAGGGGAGATAACACACAGAACAAGGTGAGAAAGAGAGTGAGGTAGGAGTGGGGTGGTGTACAGACTCACGTCAGGGACATTGGAGATGGTCTGGAAATGGTATAGAGGCCTGGACTTCTTGCACATTACTTCCTTTCACATACTTTATGCTCCAGCCAAACTGGCTTACTTAACAATTAACCAAACTTAGCCTTTCATCTCCCTGTGCACAGACTGTCCCCCATGAGTTCCACCCCTTCTTCACCCACCATCACCTCTTAGAAGCCTTAGCTCTCTTCCAGGCTCAATCTGGGTTACCCAAGCAAATCCCCTGGTTGTTACTACTCTCTCTCTCTCTCCTCAAATGATCTTCTGTTTACACATGTAGGAATGTCTACATATCTCTATAAACTACTCTACATATAACTCAGAAGAATATAAGGTTCTTGAAAGCAGGGATGATTTTTTCATAGTGCCTTATATACAGGAGGCACTTAATAACTGATTATTTGAATTGTTGATGAATTAATGAACAGTAGAAACAAAATAATGTCAAACATGCAGTGCTAGAAACTGGATTCTTGTCTCTTGGGTATGGGGGCTACAAAATATTGTCTATACAGCTGGAGGACTATATTGTACAGTCCTTCTAACAGCAACAGCCTTGTCCAAAAAAATATGGATGTACCATCAAGTATGACATTAGCTTTATAAACAAGATCATGCATTTCTTTTTCCTCCTCACGACTACACCTTTTGTCAAAATGCTAAAATGCCTTGGGTGTGTTGGAGCAGTGAGCAAATAAATGACTTCTGTGGAAATTCTCCAAAGCCTTTATGCTGGGCTAATTTTATATAATAGTTGTTTAACTCAAGGCAGTGGAGACATGTAATCAATAGGTAAAAAATTATGACTAATTACGACTTTGGTAACTATATATTCTGCCCACAAGTACTAGAATACTTTTATGGGAATGAATTTAACACTTTGTTTGGACCTCATATGGCTGAATAGGCTTCCTATGATATGGATAAATATATGATATGGATATTGTCATTGAGTGGTTGTCTAATTTCTAGGTGTGTCCTTCTTCAAAGCTCTGTCCTGGGCTCTGTTCTATGATGAACTCCTCATTCAAATGAATTGCATTTGACGTGTAATTCCCCAATCTATAGATCCAGTCCAATGTCTCTCCTGAACTCCAGTATCACTAAACGTTTGCTAGACATCTTCATCTGGCTGCCCTACTGGCATCTCCAAACAGAACTCATAATCCCTATCACAAACCCTTTCCTCCCCAAGACTTCCCTATTTCTAATGAGGGCAACAATCTAGTACCTTTCCAGACTAATTTTATATCATCTCTTTCACATACACAATGATCCAGTCAAACTGTATTACAAGCCATTCCCCTAAACTCAACAATCCATCTCTTTGCCTTTGTGTATGCATGCCATTCCCTAAGCCTGGAATGCACTCCCTCATCTCCATCTCTCAGAATTCTTAGCTTTAAGCACCTCAGGTGCCATCTTCTACATAAAGTCTTTCTGATTTCCCCAGCTATTAGTACTCTCCCCCTCCTTAAATCATCTAGTATTTACTTAACTGTGTCTTTCCTGTATCTCCTAATAAAATCTGAAAGACAGGGACATTGTTTGTTTGTTTGTTTGTTTGTTTTGTCATGGGAACTTAATAAATATTTGTCAAATGACTAATCAACGATGGCCAACAGTGGAAGCCATACTAGTTATTCCAGTAACTCTGGTTACAGTTTAATGAAGCAACCTCAGCCAAAGCCCAGGGCAAGTAGTAAAAGGATTTCTTGGGCATCTGCAAAGGAGCAAAACTAAAATATTCTTCTCTATCTGAATGTACATACCATTTATTATCTGTACAACTCATATGAGAGAAAACATAGTTTAGTGAATAAAGAGCCAGACTTGGGTCAGGAAAATCTGGATTTAAATCCCAATTCTGACACTTACTGGCTATGTGTGACCCTGGGCTTAACTTCTTTTGAACTTCAGTTTCTTCACCTGCAAAATGAAGGTAATAATACATTGCAGTCTTTGTGAGGC